ATTGCAACAGGACCTGTAGATCCATGGCCTGCTTCAAGAGACATAAGATTCCAAGTGAAAGCGGGACTGTACCTTGTGATCTCCTTTACAAATGTCCGATCTGTCAAAAAACCATGGAGCCGTGGGAGTTAAAGCCCAAAGACCACAAATGTGGCTATTTCAAGTGTAAATCATGCCAACAGTACGTAGAACCCGACCATCTCTGCTACGCGAGGAGTCACGTCACCTCGAAAGATAAGGGTCGACGCTACATCTTCGCCGACATAGAAGCGTCACAAAAGGACGAAATAGTTCAATGCGAATGGGGTTATGTCCCTCGTCATGACGAGAACTGTGCACAGTGTCGAATAGATGAAAACAAATGCTCCAAGTGTCGACTTTGCAGGCATTGTCTGAAATCTTACTGCGGAAAACCGAGACATTCCGTAGTCTTAGCCGTTTGTCAGAGTGCCTGTGCAAAGTGTGAGGTCAAGGACGTCACTCCCCAAAGTACTTGCGAGTCTTGTGGGGATCGATGTAATCGATGTTCCAAAAAAGATAAAAAGACGAAACAATATGTAAATCCTCCTTGTCCCGGAAAGTGTGGTTTTCGAGAGCGCGTATTCAAGACTCTGTACGATCTCGGTTCCTGGATATTTCACGAGAACCACAGAGGGTATACGGTCCTGTTTCATAATCTGTCTTACGACGGACAATTTCTGTTACAATACCTGTTATCGCAGTCCCTGCGTCCGTCGTTCGTCATCTACAGAGGAAGTAAAATTCAAATGTTCAACGTGAACAGATTGCAGATCAGAGTGATCGACTCTTTTAATTTCTTACCCATGGCCTTGGCAAAATTACCTCAAGCTTTTCAGCTAGAATCGTTGACCAAAGGTTATTTTCCTCATTTCTTTACGTGTCGTGAAAACTTAAATTACGTGGGCCCTTATCCGACAGCCGACATGTACGGAGCAGACGGTATGTCAGTGGCAGGAAGAGAAAAATTCTATCGATGGTATAAAGAAAAAGTCGACAGCGGAGAAATGTTTGATTTCAATCGCGAAATGGTCAAGTACTGTCGGAGTGACGTTGACATTCTGCGACGGGCTTGCCTAAAATTCAAAAATCTCCTCCACGAGGCCACGGGGATGGACGGAGGTCGCGCCGTGGATGCATTTGACTCGTGCACCATAGCATCCCTCTGTATGGACGTCTTTAAGCAAAAGTTTCTCGAGGAAGAGTGGCGATTTCTAATCAATGAAAATGATAAAGATATCTGGTTGAATGCCAAAATGCTGAACGGAAAAACAACAGTTTTTTATGGTGATCGCTGGTTAACCATGGACGAATTCAAAGCCCTCGGAATTGAAATCATCAAGGAAGTTTTTGTCAAATCGCCCATAGCTCGACCTCCTCCTAATGGGTATCAAATTAAAGTCCAGTTCAGTAAGAAATCCATTGCCTGGCTTGAATTACTGATGTTTCGATCAAGATCTGTCGGCCAGAATTTAAACATCCAACATGCACTGAACGGCCGAGGAGAATACAGGGTTCCAGGGACCCGATATCGGACAGACGGATACGTACCACCGACTCCAGATCATCCCTCTGGGATCGCCTACGAATTCAATGGGTGTCTTTATCACGGATGCCCCGTCTGTTACAAAAACGGTGACGACGTTCTCCTTCCCAATTCGGAGCAAACGGTTTCGGAGCTTTTAGCAATGACGCGTCTAAAAGAAAGACAACTGAAATCTCGCGGACTGAAGGTCATCAGCATATGGGAGCACGAGTTCGATATCATGATTAAAAAAGATGCCGAGGCCAAGGCTTTTGTCGAAAATCTGGAACTGGTCGATCGACTCGATCCCCGCGAGAGCCTGATGGGGGACGCACTAACGGTTGCATGCTATACAAGCGGGCGACACAGGGCACTAAAATTAAGTACGTTGATTTTACTTCACTTTACCCTTTCGTGAACAAGACGTGTCGGTATCCGATAGGACATCCGGAGATCGTAACTCGTGATTTTGGCGACATCTCTTCTTATTTCGGAATTGCTAAGGTCAAAATTTTGCCACCTCGTGGTCTTTTTCACCCCGTGCTGGGTTATCGAACGCAAGACAAGTTAACTTTTTCACTTTGTCGCACGTGTGTAGAAATTGGTCAAAAAGATCCTTGTAAGTGTTCGGAAGCGGACAGAGCTCTGACGGGTACCTACTGCACACCGGAACTACAGAAGGAAGTCGAAAAAGGATACAAAATACTCAAGATTTACGAAGTCTACCATTGGAAAGAAACAAAACAGTATGACACCCATTCCAAATCCGGGGGACTCTTTGCCTCCTACATTAATATGTTTTTAAAGATAAAACAAGAGGCTAGTGGACGTCCCGAGTGGGTCAAGACAGATGTCGATCTGGACCAGTATATTGAAATGTACGAGAAAAAGGAGGGCATTCGCTTAGACCCTAACAAGATTGAATACAACTCGGGTCTTCGGAGTCTGGCAAAGCTCCTTTTAAATAGCTTTTGGGGAAAATTCGGACAGCGGATGAATCTCACCAAGACACAAATACTACACGACTCCCAGGCACACGTACTTTTTCAACATATGGCTAACCCTACCATCCAAATCGAGGATTTCAACATTGTTGACGAAGAACATCTGATGTTATCTACTAAACGAATATCAGAGGAAATGTGTGACCCGGGACACACCAACGTTTTTCTGGCATCGTTTACCACCTGCTGGGCCCGGCTTAAATTATACGAGCTATTGGACTTGTTACAAACTCGTGTCTTATACTGGGACACGGATTCTGTTATCTATACTCAAAAAGAAGGCGAAGTTGAACCCCCCATCGGTGACTTTCTGGGCGAACTCACCAATGAATTAAACGAAGGTGACTGGATAACAGAATTTGTCTGCAACGGTCCTAAAAATTATGCCTATAAGACGGTCCAGGGAAAGGAAGTCTGTAAAGTCAAGGGCTTTTCATTGAATTATGCCAATTCAATGAACTTAAATTTAAGCAGCATGAGAGACGCAATGTTCAATCGTGACGATCCCAACTTTGGTAATTACCACACAGTAAATCCAAGCAAAATCTGTCGTCAAAAAATCCACAGTGAACTCTATTCTCAAGAGGAAATAAAACAATACGCAGCCGTGTACACAAAGCGTGTCGTGCAGCCGAACCTTACCACGCTCCCCTATGGTTATTAAGGAAAAAAATTCAGATCATTTCTACTTTTATTTAACCTTTTTCTTTGTATATATATATGATAATAAAAAAACAGAGATATGTTCCCAGATTTACTTACAACATTAAATCATCTCATGTTTACACAGGTGTTGTTTTCTTTCTTTCTTTTTTAAGAAGAAAGCCATTATAATCATACACATTTTTTCAGTATTTTTCCATATGAAGAAAACGAATTTTTCCTTTTTGATTACTTTTTTTTTTTTAAATGTCAACCACAATGTTTTTCTCTTCTTTGGAGCACGCTTGCCAGGTGGTGAAGTCGCCTTCTTCTTTCTACTTCCCACGTATAACAGACCAGATCCAGATTGTTGTTTAATTTTTTCTTCCACTTCTATGTCAGGAGTCAAAGAAAAAGACTCTTCGGTATTAATCCCTTGTTCTCGAGTGTCCTTATTTTTTTCGTCATTCTCTTTCTCCTTCATCCGATCGTAAGTCGTCTTCCTCACGAGTAGATATTCCTCCGCCATCTTCTTTAAAGTAAGGTTTAAGAATCAAAGGAATTACCTCTGCGTACTTCTGAAGTAACTGTTTAATATGGTTGCTACTCACTCCACGATCACAGAGAGACTGAACGAGTTTCTTGTATTCAAACAGTTTTGTTCGATAATAACCGGAAATAGTAAAACGTCCCATGTAAAGATTCAGAGATACCTCCCTGAAAGCTTTTATTTGCTCCTCGGAGGCCATGTCAATAATCTTCTTTCTTTGCGACTTATCTGCAGCTAATAAAAATTGAAGGAATGCTTTATGACGTCTGATCCTTTGTGACATGATGACGGAAATGATCGATTTTCTATAACTTCTCACCTATTTATTTGGGTCGATAAACCACCGTCTCTCCTTCATTCGGTAAAATATTGGTTCTCAGACGTCTCTCTTCTGGACAGTGATTGGTCAGATCCACCAAAATGTATCCGTAAGGACGCTTGACCGCCTTGGCGTAGGCGTCCATCCAATATTTGGAGTGACCGGTAAATACTTGACTACCAAAAGTAATAATCTGACGATTGTCTCTCACGTTTTTAAACAAGACGACATGCTGACAATTCAATAAAATGCTTTTGGCATATATCCCGGGAGGAAAGAGGTTCTGTGAAAGCAGAAAAGCTGTCACTTTGGAATGCGACACCATTGTCTGAAAGAGATGAAGAGCGTCCGGGCTTTTGGTCACCAAATGAATCATATCGTCTAGAATGATGACCGTGTGAGGGGAATCCTCAGACCATTCTTTGATTTCTTCTCTGCTAGGCAGTCCTTTATACGTGTCAAAACCTGATAACGTAGACTTCATGTCCTCGACAATCGGTTGCTCCTCCATGTAACAATAAACTATTTTGTTAGGTGTAACATCAAACATCTCAGAACCGTGTTCCAATAATTTCCACACCCAGTATGTCTTTCCAGACATGGTCCCCCCTATGACGGCAAACGACGTTGGTGTCTTAAATTTCATAGCTCACTCTTCGACGCCTTATGTTGAAATGAAGAATTTGAATCATATCATTCTAATTTATCACAAAGAAAAAAAATCACACAAACACACACGACTGCGTTTGACGAATTTTATTGAAAAAGCAATTGACTTTATTTGCATACATTTACAAGCTAGATCACAACACGTATATGACAGTCACATATTAAATACATTTCTGAAATAAAATAAAAGGAATAAAAAAACCCCCATAGATTTATATACGGATATATATATTCATACCCCCCCGGGGGGGGGGGATCTGGGTCTCCGGAGACATGGGTTCCGGTATCCAGGTTTCCGGAGACATGGGATCCGATATCCTGGTTTCCGGTGACCTGGATTCCCGGTATCCAAGTCCCCGGAAACCTGAAAAACTATTTCCATTCTTACGTCTATTTACAATGAAAATACACATCTATGTGAGTCTTTTTTTTTTAATTTCTTTTTCCACCTAAAACGAAATTTCGCACTGCATTATCGGAAGTGAATTCAGTTATCATTTCAAGACTGTTATGCATAGAAAATCCTTTTGCTCGACGAAAGAGGTAGAACAGAACGTGAAAACCACAAGTACTGGTCGAGTCAGGTTGTACTTGGACGTTGTTGTACAGACAGGCAAAGGCGTTTCTATCAATGAAATCCCTCAGTCGAATGTCATAATCTTCCGGTAGTCTTCCAAAACTGTCATAGAATTCACATTCAGTTCCATTCTTAAACCAAAACGCAATCCAGTGAGAACCTCTGTCTTCCATGGGGTCTGTGTTGCAGACGAAAGCGGAGGGAAAACGGGTCACTCGTGATGGTAAAGTGTTTGACGCATAGATTCCTCGAAAGAATGGCTTTAGTTCGGATAGAGAATTCACAATACGGAGTATCTGCTGTGTGTCCATTTTTTTCTTCTCACAACTGTCTGATTTCTCTAGTGTTGTCAATCAAGAGAAGGCCGGGGCATTCACAGTAGGCTATGGCACTTATGGTTACTGCGGTTGGCTCTGAGAAACGTGCGTACACTCCGACGTTTCCTTGATGTACCAAGTTAATATACCCTTCGCCGAGGTCAGTGGGATCGAGGTCAAAGGTATATATAGCATAACCCTCAGGAAATTTCTCACGATCGATGACCAGACTTTCGTCTTTAAACCACCTTTCCGAGGACTGATAGAGGTTACAGAGAGGAGTAACGTAATTCTTATTGGTACCAAAGTCTAGCTTCATCGGACGGACGGGTGTCGGCTCACCGTTGACATACAGGACAATCTCCGATAGATTAAAGTGTTCGAAATTGAAAGGATTGTCCCCGTAGCTCCCATTGACGGCCGACTGTTTGACAAAGGTCACGAACATTTTAGAGGGTCTTTTTCCGTTCCATACGTCGTCCCAGAAAAATTCGCTGGTTTTAGCTGAAATGGTAGTCATCTTGACGTCGGTCTTCAAGTAGTTGTATCTTGCCGGTGATTTGAGGATGGCATTGGCGTGATTTACCTGAATGGCACTATCCACTTTCACTTTACAAGCCTTAAACACGGTGTCTAATATGGTGACTTTGTAGGCGGGTGAAGACTCACCACTCATCAAGACGAATTATTTTTTAACACTAACCAGATAAATCATTTTATTCAATAAAAGTCAATGTTTCATTACTTTTTAAAGGTTTAAAACTCCCAGTGCCCCCAAAAGACCGAGACTTTGGTTAGTATTCTCTCTTTAATCACTTGTCTTTAAACGCTTAGTCTAGATTAAATATTTTCCTTCATCTTAAATTTCTTGTGTTTTTTTTCCCCAGTCGTCCAAGGACTCTCCTCAGAAAACGAACTAATCAGTAAGTTTCACTTTGAGTGTTTTGACATTTATATACTATAATTGAAACTTAAATGGAGAATTACAATTCTTTCCAAGAAAATGTATCACTTTCATCCTTTCTTTCTTTTTAAGGAATGCCGATGAATCTATTCTCCCAAAGTGGGAGGTCTCCCCAATAAGGTTAGAACAATCATTATCTCCTCTCGTCCATATATACATTTTTTTTTTACTTTGAAGTATAAAAAGCAAATGGAAATATAAATTGTCTTATAATTAAGTCTCGGTACAAAACAAAAATTTTCAAGGAAAAAAAATCAACACATCCTCTGATTGTTTTCTTTTCAGGTTATTTGTCAATTCTTTTTTTTTTAAATTAAATTATGTAAATATAAAATTTCAGTAACGAGTCGGGCCCCATTCTGATCGGTTCCGAGTGAGTAGTGACTTTCACAATTATCAAACATCAATATAAGTTTAAACAAAAGAAATTAACTGAATTAGAAATTAAGTGTTTAAAATACTGTTTCCTTCACACACGGTAATTTTCCTTTTTATATTGTAGTTCGGAGTCGGAATTGGCGTGTATTCCGCTGTAAGTTTTCTCTTTTTTTATTTCAAAACAATTAACCCTTAATAAATATATGTATATCGTACAAGAATGTACTTTAAAAGAATACATTTTTTTTTTCTGCGACTACTTCAGGAAATGTACAGGTGAAAATATTTATCATAATAAGTGACTTTTTTTTTCCTTTTAACTAATATTTATTTTCTTCATTTCAGGGAATTCAGTGAGGAAGACCAGAAAGAAAACCACGTCCAGGAAGAAGACCAGGAGGAGATCATCATTCCTCCGTAAGTCTATACAATGTTTTTTTTCTTTACATTTAATATTTTTCTTTAAATTCGTCACATTCCTTCTCTCACTCTCCATAGAAAAACAAGTAATCTGTATGTAAAAAAAAAATTGGATTAATTTCGATGGAATGAAAAGGAAAACCTTATTCGGTCATACGATAGATTTTTCCTCTTTTTCACGAAAGTCGTATTTGTTTTCCCGGAGTAAACTGGATTCCCGTTTTATTTTCTCAGAAAAAAAATGAAATCAGTTTTACTTTATTTCCATTTATTCTTCATTTATTTCATTTCACAGATCCCAGATGTAAAACCAATAGAGAAGAAAGAACAAAATAACCACAAGATGTCCAACAAGATATTTTTTTTTTTTCATGAAATTAAAAAATAGAGAGTATCCAATACTATTTTTTTTCTTTTATGCAGAATTACTGAAACTTCTTCATTGTGTCATTAATTAATGGAATGATCTGTAATAGTCTTTTCCATTGTGTCGTAGTCAGGTACAATCCTTTTATAGTGGCTTTCTTATTTAAGAAAACCCTCAGGTCCACACGCATAATATTTCCATATAAGCATACGGTCACAAATACATTTCCAGAGATTGAAAAAGATTGTATGAATTCACACAGTGTGTCATTCGCTTTGATATCAATAAAGGATTCATTCTGATGTGGTGATTCCACTACGGATGATCTTGTAGATAAACTGGAAATGGTTGTCAAAGCCACAATCATACATGAAGCTGCCAGTATTCCAAGAATTCCACTGGTTCGTAGCGCAGTACAGCGCTTTCGCAGAGAGCACTTTTCCTCGGTCATCTTCCGCTTGTCTATGGGAACACTAATCTAAATGCGTTGAAATGGATCATTTATAAGCAAAATCTTTACCAATAATTCACGTGATTGGACATTGCTTTTGAAATTATAAAAAGTCTCTTTAAGAATGTTCTGCAGAGTGATTCGTCATGTCAAATTATATTACATTCCAAGAAAAGAATCAGAATCATGATCTTTAAATTTATTATCCCCCCCTCAAAAAAAAAGGAAGAAAGAAAACTTCAATTTCAAAGGTGTACAATTATAAAAATTAAACTCTCCATAAGATGATGTAAATTTAATTTTCACACACAGACTTTCCATAATTCTGGAAAATTCCTAAAAATGTGTGTGTGAGAGGCTTAGGGTGTTGGTGTATGTGTGTGTTGAAAGAGGGGGGGGGGGACTAACATCGGTGAATTATTTCCTCTCTAAACGTTGATCTGGATTTTCCCTGAAATTAAATTCTGTGTCTTTCATTTCTATTTATGTACGTAATTTTAATCTACTCATTTCCTTTTTATCTCTATCCTTAGAGTCAATATTTAATATCATTTATCTGAAAATTAATTGATTCGTGAAGGAGGAAGAAAACTATACGTCACCATTCAGTCGTCCTAATCGTTATGCTAATTATCAACGTTGCATACAATTAATCTTAATTAACCCCACACGTCAGTTGACCTTGATCTTTTATCGATTGGGATCCCTAATTAAAATCGATCAGGTTTAATGTATTCACCCCTCTGACCTTCATTTACATAATTGACAGGTGAGCAGGTCTTCATTTACATAATTGACAGGTGAGCAGGTGTTAGGGGGTGGCCAACGGACGCCTATACTACTCTCGTACCTATCTATATGAAGATCTTCTACTGTTCCTGTAGGTCCTTCACAATAAAGTGCTGGTGGTCGTTCAACTCCATGTAATATTTAAGCAAGTTCACTCTTTATTTCCGCCTCTGGTCATGTTGATCTACTTTCTACTTTACTTTGGTAGGTTTCGGAAAGTATCAACTGCCAAAATTATTGAACACCCCCCCCCCCCGTTCCTACGGCCATATTATCCATTGTAGGGGAACCCCTACTAAAATGAAGTTGTCTATCTGTTTATTAGCATGGCATGTATGAGAGTAGGGGCATGGGACTTCTTGCCATTTCGTTGCGTTCTGCTTGCCATTTTCAGAAAGGGTTGGTGGTCAGTATTGTTAACATAAGTACGCGTAGCAGCTTTTACCCAAAGTTCCTCAGTGAGTTTTTTAACTTCTTGTCTGCGAAAAATAAAGCGGGCATTGGAGTATTTTGTAGGCGACAATTTTATAGGTCGATTTTCAAGGAATCCAAATTTGCCATCTGGGTAAAGGTTCGGAAAAGCCATTGCATCCGCCCGTTTTTCATGGAAGACACTTTGTGGTGTTTGATTTTCACCAGGAGCAACACAAAATACTGTGTTTTCCGGGTCTAAATACTCTTGTCCCAGATCAGTATGTTGAGAGCACGTTTCTACAGGATGTGCATGCAACGGATAGTCTTCCATTTCTGAACGGTTGTCGTTTTCTTCATCCGAAGAATCTACTTGTGCGTTTAACTGCATCGAGTCGGTTTCTTGGTCAAACCAGCTGTCAGGGAGTGCTATTTTTGAATACCAATGGTTATGTTTTTTTTCTTCAAAATTTCAACGGCTTGAATTACTTTCTTTAGTCTAACGCAATTCGTACTGGTAATGACCTTTGTTTGCCAACTTTCTTTAAGTCTTAACTGAGCTTCATTTATAGTTCTAGGAAGAGTCGTTGTGATACCATTGATGTTGGACGGAACGTTAACAACTTGTCTTTTGACACCTTTTTGCCCACGTTTCGAAGCGAGAGGAGTTATATAAAAGGGATTTGAAGAGCAACGAGTTGTCTCTCAAGCTGGTTGAAACTTTTTAGCTCCAGTGGTACGTTTGTAAGTTGCAGACAATTTTCGTGGGGTCACCTAATTAAGGTGTATTGTCTAACCAGTCGATATACTGTACACTATATTTCACCTTGTTTCCCAATGTGTATAAATCTGCTCGGATGTCATCTCTAATCTGATCGGCCGTTCTTCTAAAAATTTATTTTGCAATAACAATCTTTGAAGACCCACTGTATTTTGATTAAGTCTTGCTTCTGCATTATTTTAACAGAAAAAAAAATAATGGCACTTTACCACGAATTCATTCAAATTCTTCATGATGGCATTCAGTGATTGGCAATATTATGAATATAATCTTTACCTGTGTACTTTTTCTTAAATCTTAAACATTTCTTTACGCAAAGAAAAATTAAGAGATTTAGAGGTATATCTTTTTTTTTCCAGACAAAAATGACTCTATATTACAATATTCCCTTTGAATTCAGCGGCGGAACGTAGCTCTCCACACACGAAAGATAAGTTCGTGAGTTTATTTTTAAAATCAATATCATGTGTTTATGGATAAAAAATATTAAAAGCAAATATAATTTAAACAAACTGATTTTTGGTAGCGAAAATTTTAAGGCGATTGCTGAAGCTGTTCTCAGTGCCCGAGTTAATACGCATTGACAAAAATGTTAGAATTAGCGAGACAAAATTATGATTTGAATATGATTTTGCGTAAATGATATTAAAACAACTTTATACTTAACACGTTAGTTTAAAGACTTGGTAAAAGGATGAGTAAAGGTGGTTCTATTAAGTTTGGACATTAAGCCCCCATTAAGGTGGCTTATAGAAGTTCATTCCTCTAAGTTGCAGCTTAATGGTGGCTTAAAGAAATTAACTTCTATAAGCCACAGTTAAGCCACCTTTAACGGTGCTTAGACACAGATTTGAACTTGAGGGAGCCGACTGGGGTTTTATTGTGTGAAAACTACTATAGAGAAACTCTTAATTTTATACCATATGTACCTTAGATTGACTTTAGTATACATGCGAAGTTTAGTGAAAATCTACCGTTTGGTTATTTTGTAGGGACCATTTCAAAATACAGGTACATTTACTATAGGATTATATAGGAAAATACCATTTTTTCACACTTCGGAGCAAATTATACATATACTACTAAAGACTTTTTGTACATTTTTATTGAAGAAACACAAAATTCTACCGTCTGGTTTCCAGAGGGGCATCTCAAAATTCATGATATTTTCCTGTTTTTATGGAGTACAACAAAACATGACAGATACTACAGATTTCCATAAAAAATAATAAAGATGATTGTGAGATTCTCAGTGTCCTATGTTTATAATTTCAAGAGCATTTATTTTATACTTTTTATTTTATGACAGAATTAATGACCCCGCTTAAAGAACTTCGGTTATTCATAACGTCAAAAACACACTATTACGACGTCTATCTACCCATCATATGAAAAATCGTTTAAAAAATCAGTTATTTAATAACGTAATTAGATTTTTTAACGTGAGATTTCCTAAATTTGTTAATTTTTATACATTATGTAAAAATAGTTGCTTTTAAAAGAGTAAATACGCTTTATTTTACTATGCTGCGCGAAGTATTGCGCAATGAAAACCCCACTCGGTCCCCTTAATACTTTCTCAAATTTTCTGTATAATATCACGACTTATATATTGCAAAAGCACTTCACACGAAGATATAGTTAAAAACTTATTTTGTTAGGAAATTTTGGAACTACGAATTCGGGACGCATATGATTAACGTATCTTTGCACATACACAAATTTTAACTTTATCCTTTATATTTAAGAAAAAAGCGATTTTGTTATGTATTAATGAAAAATATTACATCTAGAATCCAGAAAATTCAGAGTAGAAATGTTCGAAAGCAAAACCAACTCACCAGTATTGTCAGCGTGTGCTCTGTGATGTGGACAGAGTTTAACAAGTTGAACACACCCGTGAAACGTAAACTGTTTTTGTAAACAGGGCACGAGCTCTGTTATTGTTGTTTACAATTCACCGGGTCGCCCGCGTGGCGCAGTGGTTAGAGCGTCTGCTCTAGAGTCGCGAAGTAAGGAGCTGATCCTTAGGTCGCGGGTTCGAATCCCACTGTGGGACGTGGAGACCGGTCCTTCGGATGAGACCGTATAAACCGGGGTCCCGTGTCGCAGTAGGTGCTGGCACGAAAAAGATCCCTCACTGCTCAATGGCCGTAAGTGCCGAGTATAGGAAAAAATTTGCAGCTCTCCACCGGCGAGTGGTGGCGTCTCCATATGAGTGAAAAATTCTTGAGAGGGACGTTAAACAACATACAAACAAACAATTCACCGGGTGTGTTCCACTGTTAAACTCTGCACACACCACTGAGCACGGACTTGCAATACTGTGAGTGGTTTTTGCTTTCGAACATTTCTACTCTAAATTTTCTGGGTTATAGTTTTAATATTTTTCAGCAATACTCAACAAATTGCCAGTTTTCTTAAGTATTATGAATAAAATTAAAATATGTGAAAGCGCAAGGATGTGTCAATCCAACGCGTCCAGAAATTCGAAGGTTTAATAACTTTGAGATGAAATAATATTTTTATTATATTTTGGTATGAAATGGTACAGCAATATATAAGTCATGAAATTATAAAGAAAATTTGAGAAAATATTAACTTCAAATCTGTGTCCAAGCACCTTTAAGCCACCATTAAGGAATTAAAGGTGGTTGTTCATCCTGTGTAAACTTAAGCAAATCAAATTTAAGCCTTAACTCGACACTCAAGGCC